CCCGCGCTCCGCGAGCCTGAGGGGGAAGTCCCGGCGAAGGCGGGCGTCGCTGGCGAGCCGCGCGTCCCAGTACGGCTTGACCGGCGGCAGGAGCTCGAGGTCTTGCTCCACCACGCGGTCCGGCTTGCGGATGTAGGCGTCGGGGTCGCGGAAGGCGTCGACGACGAACTTCGGGCAGACCTCCTCCACGTCTCGAGGCGTGACCGAGGACTGCCAGAACTTGAGCTTGGACTCCTCGTGCGGGACCACCTTGGACGGCGCGCCACCGTAGAGCGAGTCGGACTTTAGGCGGGGCGAACAGGGCCATCCAGAAGGTGGGCCGTCGAAAGGGTGCATGGAACGGCTTTCGGGGAGGCGTTCCAAGATTTCTGGAACGCCTTTCCGCCCAGCGTTCGGAGCAGTTCGGTCGCCTCGGCCCACGGCCCGCTACCGCGTCGACATGGAGACACCTCGAAGCGGGATCAGGCCGCACGAGTGAAGCCAAATTGTCTGCGAGGGGCAGCCTTGGAATTGCTGTTCTGCCACCCTCTCTCCTTCTCGTCCTAGGTGTGCCCGTCGACCGCCGCGCCCTTTCTGTGGCGCCGAAGTGGCCACTTCGCCTGGTCTGCCCCGTGCACGCTCCCGTGCTGGCCCTCCCCCTGCCTCCGCCCACCGCGCAGCCCCTTGCCCCCTCCGCCGCCACCTCCCCTTTTCTCCCTTCACTCCCCTTTTCGCCCCGCGTCGTCGTCGTCGTCGTCGTCGTCGTCGTCGTCGCCCCGCGTCCCACACCAGTGTCGTTCAGCGCCTCACTGATGCTAGCCCGCTACTTACATCTGCCAACCGCGCCCATTTTCTCTCGCACTCTGCCTCCCTCATCCCTCCCCCCCCCCTCCCCCTCCCTTCCCCCAGCTCCCCTGTCCTATTTCGCCTTCCCCCGTCCCCTTCCCCTTCCCTCCCTCCATTTGCCCCTTTCTTCCAACCTCGTGCTCTCCCGCTCCCACCCCTCCCCATTCCCTCCGCCGCCAGCCCTTCCCGAACGCTGTTCCGGGAAGGCGCGCAGCCCTTCCCGAACGCTGTTCCGCGGAGGCCGAATGCAGGCCCCAAGTGGGCCATCCGTCCGGCTGATGCTCCGAGGCCCCAAGTGGGCCATCCACCCGGCTCCTGGAGGCCGCCCCCCCCGAGGCCCCAAGTGGGCCATCCATCCGGCTCATGCACGCCCCCGACCCTCGCACGCCCTGCGCGCAACCCCCTCGCCGCCCCCAGGCCCCAAGTGGGCCATCCACCCGGCTCATGGAACATCACACCGGGGCACCCAGTACCCCTGCACTGGTCCAGGGCCCCAAGTGGGCCATCCGTCCGGCTGATGCTCCGAGGCCCCAAGTGGGCCATCCACCCGGCTCATGGAACCCCTTCCCAGAGCTCCCTCGGAAAGGCGTTCCGCGCCTCGGGGGAAGGGTACTCGCGCGCCTGGCCGCCTTGGCTCCCGCGACCCAGGGCGCCCTTGCACCGATCCCAAACCACCCCGCCTCTCCCTCCCCTTCTCCTGCTCCCATGCCTCCCTCCATCCCTCCCTCCCGCCAGCATTCCTGCCCTCTCGCCCCGCACCTCGTCGTCCCTTTTCTCCCTTTTCGCCCCGCGTCGTCGTCGTCCTCCTCCTCCTCCTCCTCCTCCTCCTCACATGTCCTCATCCTTCCGCCCCCCCTCCTTCCTCCTCCATCATCCTCCGCAATCCTGCTCCCGCCCTCCTCCCTCATCGTCCTCCATGCTCATCCTTATGAACCTCCTTTTCCTCCTCCTCCCTCATTCATCCCATTATCACCTCTCCCTCCTCCTCCTTCTCCTCCTTCTCCTCCTCCTCCCCTCCTCCTCCCCCTTTTTTTGACAACCCAACGTCGAGGCGAGTGCACCGCGTCTAGAAGGGCAGCAGTACAGGTGTGGAGGACACTGAGAAAACATGAAGGGAGAAGAGATCGAAAGCCAGTGGGACCATTAAATACGCAAGAGAAGTGGAGACAGTCGAGAGGGCCCAGGGCTGTCTAGCTGGCAGGAGCTGATTCCAGCAAAGATGGTTGAGGGACGAGGTGAAAGTGGACGGCCGAGCCATCCGCAATCCCAGCTGTGATTTCTCGCACCACCGCGCTTCCATCCACCCGATGAACGGCCCACTTGTTCATCCACCCCCTGGATGGCCCAGTTCGCCCCCTCCAAGGACTTGAGGAGCTCCTGAAGGGCTCCGCGAGGGTGAAGGTCTGCCGGGCGAGGGCCGCACTCCGCCACGCAGCGGCCGAGCTGCCGGCCGCACGAGGGCGAGGTCGCCGAACCCGAAGTCCCTGAATCGGCAGCGCCACCTGGCCCGCGGCCACGATGGCGCACCGCGCAGGCGGCGAGACAGTTGATCGAGTGAACTGCCTCTCGAACACGGTGTTCACGAGAGCGTCGCTGAAGCACCCGCTGGCGCAGGTACCGCGGCGCCCCGCTGAGGTCGACCGGCGGGCCAGGCCCCGGGACCGAAAGCGGCAGCGGGTCCCCGTGCGAGGAGCGAGATCCCGATGCCATGAGGAGGGCGTGGAGGCGTCCGCGGCGGAGGAACCCGCGGCGGCAGCCAGGCAGGGCGGGGCGCCGCAGGACGCCCAGCCCCAGGAGGGGGCCGGCCGGCCCCCTGCTACTTGCCAGCGTCGGCCCCGCCGCCTCTGGGCCCCTTCGGGGGCGCCTTGGGCTGCGCGGCCGTCCTCTCCTCCTGCCACTGCCGATTCGCCTTCATAGTCTGGGCGCGGGCCCGCGCCTGATCGCCAACCCATCCATCGAACTCTGGCAGCACCATGCCACCCGTGTCGTCGACGCCCGTGTCGAGGATGAGGTCGAGCCCCTCGAAGTCGGGAGCCCGAGGGTTCTTGCGGGTGGCCGACTCCAGCTGCTTGAGCCGCCTGACGAGGTACTCGGCGCCCGCGATGTTGAACAGGTCCAGCTGGTCGAACTGCTGCATCATCCGAAGCGACACGCAGATCATGTGGTGCTCGCGGGCCACGTTGCCACGCTCGGCCACCCCACTGCGTCGGAGCCAGGTGGTGCGGTGCTCTTCCCAGTTGCCCTGCCCTCCGTCGCGAAGGGAGAGCACGGCCTCCCTCGTGGCCCTGCGGCCCTGCATGCAGAGGCCAGCCCGGGATCGTCGTCTCCTTCATGCGGCGGACCGAGTCGCGGAAGTCGATGTACCTGCCACCGTCCTGGTCCCTCTCGTCGCCGACGACGCGTGGGTCCCGGCCAGCGCCGCCACGAGCTCTCGCGAGGTAGGTGTCGAAGTTCTGACCCTCGCCCACCTTGATCGCGTGGATCCAGACGTCGTCGAGCCGCACGAGCCCGACGTCGCCGCGCCGCACCAGGACCTCCTCGTTGGCGAGCACCTGGGGCGGCACCTCCTCGCCGAAATGCGACGAGGTGGGGTCGCTGACGTACCACTTGTCGCCCGGGAGGCCCACCACGCCCGCGAGGTCGAAGCCGAGGATCGTGCCGAGGGCCCTGGCCTCCTCGAGGTAGCCCTGCATATCCTCCGCCGCCACGTCGTCGAAAGCGTAGATGTTCCCAGCATGCCGGGCCGGGAACGGTCCCGACCTCCGAAGGGCCAGCACCCGAAAGGTGGCCAGGTCCACGAAGGCCACCTCCCCGTCCGGCGTGAGCCACATCCACTTCTGGGCGTCCCCCTTCACCAGCAGGACTCGGTGGTGCCACTGAAAGTTGGCGTCGTCCTCGTACCTGACGAGGCACTGGCTGAACGGCGTGTCCAGCGCTCGGGCCATGGCGGCCCCTAGTCACTGCGGGTGCCTGGAGCCCGTCGGCCTCGCCCGAGAGCCGACGGAGTCGCGACGTGCGTGCCGCCGGCGTCGTCCTCGACGGCGAGGGCCCGCGCTCTCGCGGCCGGCCGAACCGGCGCTCCAGCCGCCAGCCAGGCCGCTGTCGCCAGCCCAGCGCCAAGGGCCACGCCCACCACGGCGGCGCCGCAGAGGTCGAGCCCCGTGTAGTGCCCCAGCGGAAGCGGGCACGGCGGGCAGGGCTGGCACGCGGCCCCCTGCAGGTGCTCCGGGCCGCAGCGCGCCAGCTGCTCCCGGAGGATGGCCACGAGGCCGTCGGTGGTGTCCGAGCCCTCGAACACGCAGCGGCAAGAGACCTCGGCGACCCCGCCGCGGCCAGCCCCGGTCCAGCGCTCGGAGAGCGCCCCGAGAACCCAGCCGCCGGCTGCGTGCACCCACGCGGCCATGAAACCTTCACGGCAGAAAGGCTTGAGGGGAAGAGGCAGCGGGAGGGGAGAGAGCGAATGCACAAGCGATGTGACCAAATGCAATAAGAAGAAAAAGAGAAGAAGAAAACAAAACGCCGTAAATATAAACTTTGGGCGCTCCGTGCGGAGTTCTTGGACCTGCGCTGGACCCCCCTCCCTGTGGCGCGCGGAGCGCGACAAGGGCGACGCCGGAGGCGCCGCCGAGAGCGGCGCAGGCGTGGACCCAAGAACTCCGCGCGGCGCACCAAGAGTTCCTGTTCATGCCGCTTCTTCGAAGGAGCATCTGGCCCAGATCACCTCTCTTCTCTCTGAGCTCCCCTCCCCGCCCCCCTGCGCGGACCCGCTCCGGGCGGCCCGGCCCGCCCCCCCCGCCGCGGGGCGGCGCCCGCGCTGGGCGGGTCGCCGACGCCGGCGCCGACGGCGCAGGACGAGGACGAGGACGAGGACGAGGACGACGAGGCCGCCGGTCGACGACGACGACGACGACGACGACGACGACGCCGCAGGGAGGCGAGCACGACGAGGCCGAGGACGCGGACGACGAGGACGACGAGGTCGACGGTCGGCGGTCCACGGTTGACGGTGGACGGTGGACGGTGGACGGTGGACGGTGGACGGTGGACGGTGGACGGAAGACGACGACGACGACGACGACGACGACGACGACGACGACGACGACGACGACGACGACGACGACGACGACGGCGACGGAGGGCGAGGCGAGCACGCCGAGGACGGCGGGTCGGAGAACTCAGGCTGCAGACCGTCGAGGTGCCCCGGAGGGAGTTCTCCCCGGACGTGCCTCGGGAGCCGCGGGGTCGAGGCACTGCCTCAGGCTGCCCTCCTGCCTCACCTCCTCCGTCGTTCGTCCTCCCTCCTCCGCGGGTCGTCCTCCTCGCCCTCCTCCCCGCCTCCTCTTCTTCCTCCTCCTCTTCCTCCTCCTCCTCCACCTCCTCCTCCTCCTCCTCCTCCTCCTCCTCCTGCTCTGGGTACTGGGCGCCCCACGTCCCGCTCTGCAACACGTGGCACAAATCCTACTCCCCCTCCTCCTCCTCCTCCTCCTCCTCCCTCCCTCCTCCTCCCTCCTCCTCCTCCTCCTCCTCCTCCTCCTCCTCCTCCTCCCGCGCCTTGCAGGAGGGAGTCCACGGGGGAAATCCTCCCCTGACCCCAGAGCGCTCCTCTTCCGTGACTTTTCACGGGTCCCCGCAAAGGGGGACAAAAACAAAAACGAAAGCAAGCTGAACGTACCCGAAAAGATACTCCACCCCGTTTCCTGGCAGCCGCGGCCGACGAACCAAACGGCAGTCGTCGACCCAGCTGTCGCGAGATGGTGAGAGTGGAGCCCCTCCAGGTCCTTTCCGCATCAGGCCAGACTGCAACCCCTTCGGGTTTTGCTCCAGCATCGAGCCTCCTCTGGGTGAGTCGTCCTTCTTTGTTGAGGCGCTTCTCGCACGGCGCCGAAAATTTAACAAACCTCTTGGCCCCTTGGGCCGCACACGTCCTACAAAACTCAAGTCCACGAAACTTCTCTACTTTGTTAGTGCTGTGGATCTGGAAGGGCCGCCTCCCGCACTCTTGCTTGCAGAATTCTGATACGGAGACAAGCCAAACATTTGAAACCCTCGGGCGTCTCTTGCAACGAATGCGAAATGTCTCGGACCGCCAAAACTCGTTTTTGTCGGCCTGGGCCTGGGAATCGAAGCTAGTTCCAGCAGCCACATCTCCCTTCAGGGTCGTGCCATGGAAATCCTTCGAACCCTTGGCAACTTTAAGTGACACGCTTATGAGGCGTTTCTGCACTCTCCAGGCCAGCTTGTTCGCCTCCCGGACTTGCACAACTTAAGCATTGGGCGGCCCAGCTTCCTCAGCGGCCCTGTCAGCCACAGATCTGGCCGCGACACCGATGGGGTCGAGGCGATACCTGCGCGACTGTCAGCCCAGAAAAGTCACCGCAACGCAACTCTGCACCCACAGCGCACCATCCCAGCCCATCGTGGACATGAAGACTGCTCTCGTCGGTGACCGACGCAATCTGATCTTTTATGAGAGCAGAAGTACATGCAGGACGGGGTTCACCCATCCTTTTCTTGAAATACAGAATCATCTAGTCCGTCTCCGTACACGATCCGCTGTCATGGCCGCCGCTGCTTGTCTCAAGGCCGCTCACTGCGGCACGCGTCCTCCGGTGGTCAACTATAACAGACATTCCGAACGGCGTGGTGCCGTGACTCGCTGGCTGTCTGCGAGTTCTATTTTTTCGCGACGCTGACGCTGCCCGTGGACTTGCTGCTTGTGTGGCCCTCGCACCCGCCCAGCAACTACTGAACTGCTCGTTCCAAAGGCCTTCGCGAGGCTGGCCCCCGTTCGGGGACGCCGTCCCTCTGCGTCAGCACCTGCGCCATGGCGCCCCGCACCTCGCTGTGGCTGAAGTGGATCGCCAGCCTGAGCTTCGCCGCGATCTGCTCGATGCGTCGCAACCGCCATCTTGCCGTCCGCGTGCAAGAGCAGCGCGACGAACGCAACGCAATTGACGTCGCGGAGCTCCGCCGCGATGGCCAGCGCCGGGAGCGCCGAAAAGGCCGCGAGTCGCCCAGTAATGTTCTTTTACCCGTGGTGCGCTGGCACTCGCGCTGGCCGGGGCGCCCGCCCGCCTTGGCCTCGACCGCGAAGGCGGGGCCGCCGGGCCCCGAGCGGCGCGCAACTTCGGCAAACACGTCGAGCGGCGGAGCCCGAGTGCGCGCGCGCCGCCGCAGGGCCTCGAAGCTCGAGCACCCCTGGCCATAGATGGCAAACGCGCAGATCTGGAAGATAACGCCACCGCGCGCACGGGGATTGGCACGGGCATCCCCCGCGCGTCTGGCACTGGCCGCCATGCGTTTCTGAGCTGCCACCACCGAGCCACGCGCGCCCACGCGCCAGGGGCACGTGCTTGTCGCGACCTTGCACGTCCGTTGAGCCCCCGAGCCATGTTTTTCAAGCTGGTGCTGATTGACCGATCTCCGTGATGTGAATCTCCCGGCGCGATGCGTCGTCGTCATTCCAGCGGCCGCAAATCAATGTTCCCGGGTTTTCATTTGATTTTGTCAAGCATGGTGCTTCATCCTGGGGGCTGCGCAGCGCGAGCAGAGGCCCCAGCTCGCCATCGTGAGAAATCAAACGCGCGGATGGCCTCGACCAAATCCCCCTCTTGACAAAGCTTCAAGAACCCTTGCTCCAGCTCCTCCGCGAGCCATGACACGGGAACGCCAGTCGCCTCCAACCCCTCCATGATGTCCACCGGAACCCTCCTCGCCAGCGGATTGACCCCCCCCTCTCCCTCCCCCCTCTCAGATGGCCCCTGCTCGCTCGGTCGCCGGGTCAGACTCGAACGCATGCTGTCCGAGAGCCGCCGCGAGCTCCTGATCGCGATGGCTCGGGCGCGCCGCTATCCTCTGGAGTCTCTTGGACCTGCGCGCCTGCGCCCCCGGCTCGGCGGAGGTTCCCTCTCTGGCGCCTAAAAACCTCGGCAGTCGACGTGCGCCTGCGCGCGTAAATCGCCAGCATCTGCATTCAACATCGCCCGCGCTGCGCCTCGCATTGCGCGCCGAGCGATTCTGGCCGCGAGAATATTCAGCTCCTGCCAGTTGGCCACCGCGAGGGAGAAGGCGCCGTTCCCTGGCAGGGCTGCGCTCTGCGCGCAGCAACTCAGAAGCGCGCGTCTGGTTTCCAGGGCGTGCGCTTCGAACCCCAATCACGACCTAGGGCGCGACATACTTTCTCAACTGCCACGTGCCTCGCCACAAGATCCTGCCCGCATGTGCCGCCTATCTGCGTTCGTGTTCCTAAATGCCGCGCTTGGGGTTCAAATGGTACGCAATCGGACGCTTCCCGAAAGGGCCCCCCCATGCGTCGTTCGTCGAGCCGCTTCCAAATCAGGCGGGGGGGGGGGGGAATCGCATGTGCCCCGATTCTGCCGGCGGCTGACCGTCTCCAGAGCGCGATCCAGAGCTTCATTTTCTCAAGTGAAATGCTGCGCAGCGCCAGAGACTCAATCGATTCGGTCTCTTCGGTCCCTCGCGATTCAAACAAGTCATCCGCGCGCTGGCGCAGAGGGAAGTCGACGCCGCGGCCTGCGCATGAGCCCTCCGGCGCACGGTGGCCGACATCGCTGCCTGCCTGCTTCGCGCGGCACCCATGCGTTGGCCCCGCTTGGGGCGACAGGAATAAACGCTCACGCAAACTACAAGTTGCCCACAAACGCCTCGCAGCTAATCCAAAACAAGATCCTGCCGTCCTCGCAGAGCATGCCAACGCGCGTCATCTCCTCGCCCATCAGTTCATGTTGCGACGAGTCATCCGCTTCCCAGGAGACACATCCGAATGCATTCCTTAAGGTTGCACTCGCGCGATACATGCGCGCCCCAAGCCTACGCGCGCGCCGCGCCGTGACCTGTGCCACTGCAATGGCCGCCTCCTGGGATCAGCTTTTTGTGCTGCTGACAGGGGCAATGCGCGCGCCCGTCTTGGCGCGTTTGGGGCGGTGCTCTGGGCGGCGGACCACCCCTTGCCTTGGGGAGCTGGAAGAAAAATCGCCCTAGTGCCCCGGGCCGTGCCCCCAGTCGATCGCGCCCCCGCCTCCGCGGGAAGGGTCGCGCCCTGGCTTGGGCGCGCGCAGCTGGGGGCCCCGCCACTCTGCCAAAAGAGGAGCAAGCCATCCTCCAGGACCGCGCGTGAAAGAAGGGCGCTCAGATGCACTGCGGGATCGCCGACACCTCGGGCGCCCTCCGCGGGGTGAGCCACAGCAGTCGGGTCCGTCCAAATGGCCAGGAGCTCCAGAGGGGCTGCCCGCGCGGTTTGCGCCCCCCTCCCAGGGGCTCGCCGCAGCCAGCGCGCCAGCCCTCGGATGTCACGAATAGCGTCTCGACTACAGCCCTCAACCAGCACCGCAGGTTCAACTGCCCCAGGTGTTCGAGGGCTGCGCCGCTCATCTTAAGCGCGCATGGCCGCGGCCGCCGCGCCCCCGCGCGGTCCAAGCCGCAGCCGATGACCTGTCCACTGCGCGATGAATAGGCCCGTGGTTTGGGCCCCCAATAAATGTCTCCCCTCGGCGCCGCACTATGTGTTCGCCGCCCTCCCGACAAGTCGGCGCGCCTCCATCATCTTCCGCAGTCGCCACGGCCCCCGCTGCTGATCTGCAAACTCGTTGCGATAATAGGGCGCGAACAAACCTACCTCGCTTTTGATCACCCTTGCTTCCAAGAGCTACCAAGCGACGCCAAACTACGGCCTGCGCCGGTCAGGCCGCTCGACGGGGAGGCGCGCGGCACGATTTGGTTTTGCCCGGAAGCGAAAGCGGGGTAGGTAATTCACGCTCTGAGATAAGCACGCCTTTCCGAAACGTGCCCGTTCTTTTCACGTGTACTGGCCACTTTCTAAAGCCCCCAATGACCGCCTGCTCGCCGGCTTCGGAATGTTCATCGCAATCGGAAGTCTCTCCGTGCATTGAATGGAATTATAGCCGTTCCCTCAGCGCCGTGCATCTCGCATCTCTGCGTGGTTCTTAAGAGAAGAATGGTTGCCCGACCTCAGACAAGAATTGCCCCGCCTTGTCGCATTGGCAACCCGATGAAGCATGAGCGGCGCAACCAAGCAACTCGCCAAAGCACTGATCCGCCTTAAACTCCAACTATTCTACGAAGTGCCTCTTAGTCTCCACGCCTCAGCCGATGTGCGCTTGCATCATTGCCTCCGCGTTCCACTTGGGCATGAACTCCTGCTGCCCGTGATTGCTCGTCGTCGGAATGCGCGGGCTGACGCGCGCTATAGCAGATGTCTCGGGATCTGCTGCGGCGCTCGGCCCAAACGGGCTAACGGTCCAAAATGTGTTGCACAACTCTCCAATGCCGTGGATACATACAAGCGTAACCAACAAACGAAGAACTTCCGCAACAACCGTTCCATGTATCATCCGCTCGCTGAGTCGTAACCACTGGCATCGCAAAGCCCTTTCAATATTTATCTGAACCTTTTGCCGGCGCAGCGTTCCCTCCGCGCGCCAGGGTACTGCGCCGCATCCGCACCCGCGAAATTAACGCCCGTTCCGCTTGCATTGCGGATCGGCCCCAAGCAGTCGTTGCAACCAATTGTGGTAATGAATGTGCCTATGCTCGGGGTCTGCTGTAGGTTCTCTCGCAGCCGATCCCTCGCTTGCATGTTGATCGCCTTCGACTGAAGTAGTTCGAAGCGGCGCGTGCACGCCCGCGAAAGTGAAGTAGAACTGCAGTGATGCAAGGCGCGTCGTCAAGCCCTCTGCCCGCGCATGGCTCTGGTGGAGCCACTGCTCTTCGTAATTGTCGATGCTTAAACTTGCAACCAAGACCGAATGCACTCCCCGCTGACTTGTTGCTCATCGGAGCGTTCTTCCATTCACTCCCCTGTCTCCAACTCGTAGCTGTTCCAAAGGGGGGGTCCGTGCGTCTCTGAATGCCGATGAGGCCGACACAATCGTAACTGGCGCACCCGTTCTCAGCGTCATCTAAATTTCCGGATGCGCGGTCGACGAGCGGACTGAAATGCAGAACGCCCCATGTGCGCACTTACGCTGTAGAGCCTGCTTTCCGCCTCTGGCCCCGCCGCCCCTGGCGTCATCGCTCCCAAAAGAGCGGCCCTCATCCACGCCCCTTGGCGATGGCCGCCCCTGGGCACCGCGGCCGCCGCTTGCTCGAAAGACCGGGCCTCAATGACCATCCGTGCAGTATGTATGCTCGAAATCTTGCAAACGACTCACTGGCGTCGTGTATGTTCGCAGTCTCTTCGACGTCCCCACTCCTTCACCAGACGCCCGATGCCTCGATTTGGTCCCACTGCGGTGCCCCCCAAAGTCCCTGCTCGCTCCCCAAGACCTGATGTTCCATCCTGGGGAATTATCTGGTGGCCCCCGGGCCTGAAGACGGCCTGCGGAGGGCGAGGACGGCGAGATGCCGCCGCACTGCTTAAGTGCAAGAAATTTGATCCATGGGGCCTCGGCGACCCGAGCGGCGTGGAGCCCCAGGGCGGAGAGGCAATGAGCCATGCGACAAATCCAACCTGGAAGCCCGTTCCTGCCCTTGCCGGGTATGCCAAGGAAGGCCATGGAGGGACCGACGTCCGTCGAAACAGAGCGGGTGGAATCCGAGGAAGAGTCCCCGTCCCCGCGGTGGGGGGGGGAGCGCGCGCGCGGCGCGCGGGGCCCCAGTGGCCTTGCAAGGTCGGGCGGGACTAAGACGAGGATACATCCGTTCCAAAGCGCCCCGGGACGCTCTCAAAACGCTCTGGGGCGCTCTGAAAAGGCTGCGGCGTCCGAGACATCCTCCGGGAGCCATGGGATTTCTCAGGCTCTCGACCTCATTATCCTCGCCCGATGCTCTATCCTCGCCTTGGTTTCTTCCTCATTATCCTCGCCCGATGCTCTATCCTCGCCTTGGTTTCTTCCTCAAAAGCCCCTTCCTCCCAGGCCCCTTCCCACGACCACCCTGGTGGTTTTCTGACTAAGAAAAAATCTCGGGCCCCGCGCGACCGTTCGGGGTGCTGCGGGCACCCCCGGGGCGCTCTCTCGGCCAGGCGCCGCTGTTGGAGAGCGACCCCCGAAGCCTGGAGTCGTCGCCGCGGCGCGGCGAGCACGCCCGAAAAAGCCCCGAACTCCGAACGCTCTGACGCTGCCCTCCTATTGTCCTTTGGGCGCGCTTCCCCAGCCTCGGGAGTTGCTGAATTCATGTGGCCCCCATCGCACTCAAGGACCACATCCCAAAAACAATTTTGAGCACCCAGGAAAAAATGTCGAAACAGTGTCGGACAAGTGTCGCCTCCCAGAGCCCGACGCGTGAAAACCCTCAAGTGGCGGTACTTTCTGGGTGCTCGACATTGTTCCTGGTGCTCAGAGCTGAAGTAGGCTGGAGCATCATAATGCTAAGTGGGGAGGCGATGACTGGATGACTTGGGCGGGGGGAGCGCGCACCGTTCGTGCCCCTCTCGGGCCCACGAGATGCACCTTTCTTCGCCGCATCCCCCCCCCCATTGATCGCCCCCCCCCACACAAACAATCACTGCACCTGCACCGACCTTGCAGACGTGCTGCAGCGGATTTCTGCGTGGATTTCTGTCAACGCACAACCCCCAAAACGGCGAGCGAAAAACGAATTGAATTTCACGTGGATTTGTTTTAATCTTCATTTCTGGCCAAACAAAATCCGCACGAAATCCACTTCGAAATCCAGCACGAAATTCGCTGGAGCACTCCGGGTCCATCCAATTGAAATCCGAACAAAAAATCAGCTCTGCGATGTTGGCGCCACGACCACTATCGTATGACGCAGCTCAGCATGGGCAAGGCAAGACGGGTCCCGAGGGAAACGGGTCCTGGACCCTGGTCAGGAGGAAAAGAAACACACAGACACAATTAATCTTCGAAAGCCCAGAAAATATGGGAAAATATGGGGAATCTTTTTATTTGTGTATATGTATTTGCGTGTCCTGGGGCTCCTTCACCTGGGGCCTTCCCCCAGAACGAGTCCTACATCCTGAAACGTTTGGCAACCGTCCTGGGGCCCGGCCCGCGGACGGCCCCCCGAGAGCCAGCAAACGTCGAACAACTCCGGGCCCGTGTCCCTCAGGACCTGCAGTGGAAGGACAGACTTTGCACCAACAACGCACCGACGACAAACAGAACTCTCCCCCCCTCCCCCCCCCTGGCGTTAATATTGGAATGCGTTGCGATCGAGATCTTGGGCTCAGATTTTGTCTGGCCGCTCACCTCTGGGACCAACTGCTCAATACTAAGGCTGGGGGGTGCGGGGGGGTGTACTCAAAGTGGCCCCCCAACTCTTGATGCAATTTTTTTTCCTTCAACGGTATTTCCCCATGGCGAGCAACGCACGACCGCCTCGCCCACCCCCAGGAGCGCGTCTGGGGAGCGGGGCCCTGCGAGCCGACGGAACACTCCGAGGTCGCCGAGGAGGTCGCCACCGGCGCCGCCGGCACGGCGCGCCTGTCATATCGGGCCGCGGGGGCAGATGGCGACGCCCCAGGGCTCCAAGGGAGGGGGGCTTCCGGGATCGGCGATCGGGGATCGAAGATCGGGACTCCGAGATTCGAGGATCGAGGCTTTCCGGGGGCGGGGGGGGTCGACAGATTCGTTATCCTCCTGAGCCTCTTTCTTCTCCTCCGCCACCTGTTCCTTCTGTCCCTCTCCCCGAGGTGAGGAGGGGAAGAGGGAGGGGGAGGGGAAAGAGGAGGAGGAGGGGGAAGAGGAGGAGGAAAAGCAGGAGGAAGAAGAGGAGGGTAGTGGAGGAGGAGGAGGAGGAGGAGGAGGAGAAGGAGGAAGAGGAGGAGGAGGGTAGTGCAGGAGGGGGAGGAGGAGGGTAGTGAAGGAGGGGGAGGAAGGGAGAGAAGACTGGACGAGAAGGGGAAAGGGGACGGGGAGAAATCAGCGTCTCGGATTGTGGCCTTCTTGGCTCTTGTTGGGGCATCCTGAACAACCCTCTTTGAGCGCCCTCGGGCGGACGGGGCCGACAGCGACAACGGGAACGAGGGGAGGGGATGGGACGGAAGCAAGAATGGGGTACAATCGAGTTTGATTGGAGAGGGCACGGGAGAGGACACAAGCTTTGTCCGAGGTCCACATTGCCATACGAATGTAGAGGGCATGGGTAGCGAAACGCAGGACACATAGGCACTCTTCACTTGGCAGGGTCGATCTAAGAATCAACCTCAGCTGTAGGTTTCGGCCTCCAGGACTTGCTTGCTGGCACCTGTGGGACTCCCGTCTCCACGGCTGGGTTCCTTTTTGTGAATATGGACGGAAGTCGCACTAGGAGAGATTTGGTGTTCGATTTTTCAGGTAGGGGCTCAGACTGCCACTCTTTGTGAACTGATACAGGTTGAGCCAGTCGGTTCTCCAAGCTCTCCACTTTTAGATGTGTGTTTCGGGCCCGAGGGCGATCAACGAATTGCCGGGACTAAACAACTGTCCCGAAGAAGGGGTCGATATGTCCAAATGTCCACCGCACACAAGAAACACGACTTCGGATGCCGGGTGCTGGGAGGAGCGGGGGGGGGGGGCGTGATCAAAAACGGGGGGGCGGAAAGGGTGCTTTCGACGGCGGCGGCGCAGAAACTCCGGAAAAAAATCATCGTGGCAATTCGCGCCCACATCAATTTCGTGGCGTAGTGTGAACGCGCTTCTCATCACAGGTAAAAGCGGATGACAAATCACGGGTGCAGCAGGGATGAACCTAAGCGGTGTTTTTCGTTGTCGTCTTGGCTTAGTTGCCCTTCGATCTTGTCTCGGATCTGCCTCAGCCGCAAAACGAGAAGTCGAAACGAAAACGGCCCACGAAATCACCGAGAACACCGTTTAGGTCCAGCCCCGGGGTGCAGGGAGGAGCGGGGAAGCGGTGGTCGAAACTCTCTGGGCGCGGGGACTGCTCTGGGGCCTCACGCCCTCGAGGCCAGACTCCGGATTCCCCGCGGGAGTCGTTCCAGCACGTGGCCATCCAAGATCTGGGGGAGGACAAGGGGAGGGGGGGGGCGGGGGGCAGGCGGGGTGGGCAAGGGAGAGAGAAGGAGGGGCCAGGAAACGGGAGGGAGGGGGGCGAGAGAGAAAGGAGGAGGACGACGAGCAGAGGGAGGGGAGAGGTGCAAGGAGGTCCTTCTCCCGATCCTCCTGCAAGTCCCCGAAGAAGAATTGCACTGGAACGCAGTCCACCATCAGGTACTTGAGCCATGTGCCACCAGCAGCGCTCACGCATGACTGCGAGACGTACGGCGATGCTCCCCACCCAGACGAAAGGCCATGTTCTGACGCTACCCTTCGGCCAAGGTGGGCGACGAGTGCGACGGGTGAAGAGTCCACATGAAGCGACATGGATCAAAAGGAATTGGGTCAAGGAAAGGAACTGCCGAATGACAAACCCAGCTGGAAGAACTTGCATCGTTGGGTAGCGAACGAAATTGTGAAGCGGCTAAACCGTATGGCGTAAACGCGCAGGGGCATCCGAACGCGAGACGAATTTCTCTGTACCGCGACATGCAAGCTGCATGCAACTCTTCGTGGCGGTAGTTGAGACTAGCGGACCTGGCCATCGTGGCCGCCCTGCCACCCAAATGGCGCACCTGCCCCTGGGTATAAGCCTGGCGTGAAAACTGAGCAACGGTTGGAATCAGCAGTGGCATCACAAAAATTGTTTGTCTGATATGCCACAGCATGCTCGCTACCGCCTAGCCAGCAGCCGGAATCATCTTGCCTGATGTGGTTAACGCTGCGATCAACAATATTGTCATCCCTGCCCAAAAGCTGCGATCTCGGTTGCGGAGATAACAAAGAAACGCTCGCGCATCCGCTGCAAACCGGTGCTAGCGTTCGGATCGGCGACCCAGCGCCCGCCGGAACGCCCATCGCTGGAAATCCGCGGCTGGCACTCAGACTTGCCAGCACGCCGCTTCTCTGCGGCGACGGGAACGATGACGCGCGGCCCTGAGTGGAAACTCGCGGGCGTCGATCACCTGGCTGTTGTTGTATATCGCAATATTTAAACTTGGTCTGATACCAGCGCGCTCTCGGCGCTGGCCTCGGCGCCCTCGACTCGCCCCAGCTCAACCTGCCAACCGCCTCGTACTGCTCGTAGAAGACAACGCGAACAGTGGCGAGCTTCGTGGTAAAATCAACTGAATCCTCAGCAGGAAAGCGCACGGTGGCAGTGCCTGCGTGAACTTCACTCTGGTTGCTGCGAGCTTCTTCTTGGACAACTATGGCGAATAATATCGCGGGCAAACATCGCGCCGAACAGATTAGGCAATGTCCTCTTGCAGTGCCAGGCACGCCCGGGTAAACGCCAACGTTTCGGACGCGTCCTGGCGCGGGCTGCGGCGCCCGCGCCTTAGCTCAGTCAGCGAAGGCTCGAGCTGACTTGGTGCTCACGCTAGGCGGCAGTTACGAGGTACCTCAGAGGGCCCGCGGCTGATTTGATCTGGCTACTGCGCATGCATGCTAAGCCGGCGCGCGGGCAGCTCGCCCCTCCGCGCACGGGGGGGGGGGGGGGGGGGGATATTCCAATGATAACGGTCTGCGCACCTCCCGTAGCGGAACAGGAAGCTCGCCCGGCAATCGACGGAGTCGTTGGATCACTTCATCTCCAGCTCGACATTGTCGCTGGTCCATTCGCCGACATAGTTTCTCCAAAAAGTACGCACTGATTGGCTCGATTAATTGAAGCCGGTCGGAGTAGCATCAAAAACTGGGATGGCGCCCCTCGTCGTCAACGCCCGCGAACCTTTCTGCGCTGCGCAGGGGCCGCTTGCGATTGCCAATCATCACGCGCGCGCGGTGACGAGCTGACCTCTGGGAACGGAGGCCCCGTCGGCGGCCGAGCTGCGCCAGCCAGCGGGGGCGCCTGTAACTGCCCGCCCTTCGCAACCCCCGCCGTGGGCTGACCAATCTCGGGCCCGCCGGGCAACTCGCCCGCGACGGGGCCGCTCGGCAACCCTTCCCCACTGGCTGCGCCGCTGCCGCAGGGTGGCCGACCGGAGGGGCGGGCTCGGCACTCGTCCGATATTGCGTCATCTGAGCGGCCGCGCATGGGCCCGCCCTCCGAGGTTTCAGTCGATGTAACATGCGGTGGTGCCGTCTATGGATTGCGCGCGCTTGATGGGCAAGCCTGCGCCCGAAGACATGGCAGCAACTTCGGCGCCGCCTTTGGGGGGGGGGGGCCCGCCCTGGGCAACTCCTGAGGGGTGGGCGGGGGCAACGTTTTGACGCCGTCTGGAGGGTTCAGGACATCGCGCCAGCGAGCGCGCCGTGAGAAACGGATCAAGCGCAATGCTCGATTGCCCCCACTGCGCAAGTGACGTTCGCCATGGCGCTCCCGCGCGGCGGCTCGGGCAAGCGGGCAACCGCGTCGCCGATCTGGCGCGCTAGCTCCACGATCGCCGACGTGCCCCCAGCAACCTCGCAGCGTTCGGCCCGCCTCTCAGCCGCGGCTTTGGACCTGCGCGTCGCCTCGACCTGCGCCTCGAGGGTCCTCGCCCATCCAGCCGCCCTCGCTCCTGCTTCGCCCGCCGGAGGTGACCTGTTACCGACGACGCATTGGCGCCGCGGCGCAAGTGACGGCCCTGAGAATCTCCCCCTGGTCGCCCAGCCTCTGGAACACCCGGTTTAACGCGCCCCCCCATCCCCCCGACATAAACAAACGTGAATCGGCGTCTCCTCGACGCCAATCGCCAATGTGACCCCCGGCGACACTGGCGACGGGCTGGGTCCAGCCGAAGTCGGATCGGGCTTGGCTGGGCCGCCGCTGCCGCTCGCCGCGGGGCTGCGTCGACGCGGCTGCCGCTGGTGAATTCGGATGGGGGGAGGCGGCCGTCGAGCGCGATTTACCTCGGCCCGAATTAACCTGGGCCGCAAACAGCTCCACTGCGTGTTCTAATTTTTGTGAGCGCTAACCGACGCCGGCCTTGTAGTGCAATTTGATTGCTAGTGCTCGTGTGCTTAACCATTGCTGACGTACATAGCTATAGCGTCGGCAAGGTTGCCACAAGCACCTACTGTTCATGCTCGAATATGTCCCCCCCAGGCATTCTCCTGCAGACAGAAAAGAGACACATTTCTGTGCGTGTAGCATGTACTTGTTTTCTTTCAGATAAGATTTGCCATGGCCGCCCGTGGCACCGCTCTTCATCGCGACGTGCGCAGGGGTGCCGAAGTCCCTGGGGGCCGCTTGTAATCCTGGCCCAGCTGAACCCCCTGTGGCCATCCCACAATTTGCACGGTCCAGGTTTCTCGGGCCTGTTCCGCGCCCCCGCGGCGGGTTTCGCCATCTCTGGCAAACTCCTTTACGGCGCGCCAAATATCGGGCGGGTCCCATGCCTGGTTGTTGGCCCGCGCAACGAGCGTTCGACGTGCTTCGCGCGTCTTGCAGGCTTGTAAACGAGCAGCCATCGACGCCCCCCATGTCCTGAATCCGCCTCGCGCCAACAGACCTTTGCGACTCCACTCGGTTAGTGCCCTGTTAACTATCGGACTCGATTGGGCCTCCTCTATCTACACTCTCGGGGCCCACGCGCCGAAACGAACAGGTTGCGCGCGCCGCGACGGCGGGCGCGTCGCGCCGATGAGACCCCAACCCGCCGCGCCTGCACCACGCGGATAGCGCGCTTGCAATCTGAGGACAGCCCAGCAAAGCAGAACAGGGGCGACACTTCAGATAGCACCAGGCATAATGAACGAGCAGGCGCCCCCGCGCCCCCGCCCGCGCGCCCAGCGGGCGCCCGCCCCCCCGGGCACTTCAGGGGGAGGGGCATGGCCTGATGGCGGCCAGAGGGCGCCGCGTGAGCGCAGTGTCTCGCAGCCGCAGGATGGCCGACTTCCCTGGCGGGCAGGGCGGGGGGGGGGCAGGGCGCAGCCCCGAGCAGATAGTGCGCGCCCTGCTGGGAGGAGGGGGCCGAGGGGCCCCCGGGACCCCCGAATGCCCAACGCGAAGGCGTCCGCGGTCCGTCGGCCGAGGCAGGCCCCCGCCCGCGGGCCGCGGCCTGCCTGGGATATCGGGCTTGCCCCCCCCCCCCCCCCCCCCCCCCCCCCCCTCCCCCGGGATATCCCGCATGCGCAGGTCCACCAGGGCAGGGGGGCGCGGGCGCGCGCGGGGCTGCCCGCGGCGCGAAGGTTCGGTCATCGGCCGGCCCCCCCATCCCCGGGCAACCCGGGCCACCGCCGATCCAAACAAAAAAAAAAAAGTGCCCGCCCCGCGGCGCCTCTGCGGCGGATGCCGCTCCAGGCAGGTAGCGCGCGCCCTGGCGGGAAGGGGGCGCTCGCAAGGGCGCCCGAGACCCCCCGACGACCCCGCGCGGCGGCGCCCGCGGTCCGGCAGCCGAGGCAGGCCGCCCTGGCCCCGCGCGCAGCCCCCCAGGGCGCGCCCCCAGGCGCCTCTGGGGCAGGCGCCGCCCCGGGCAGATAGCACGCGCCCCGACGCGGGGGTGCGGAGGGGGATCCGAGACCCCCAAGCACCCCGCACGAAAGCTCCCGAGGCCTCGCATCCGAGGCAGGCCGCGTCGGCCCCGCGCGCGATCGCGCGCCCAGACGGGGGCGCCTGCCCAAACCAAATTATTCATCCGGTGTGTTTCTCCTTTCTCTGCATAGCTTCGTCTACTCATCTATCCCCGGCGGGTGGGGGGGGGCGCGCGGCGACCTCCTGGCATGGGCTGAACGAGTGGATGCTTTCACTCCCGTTTGATCCCCCAGGGTTCTCCAACGCATGTGTTGTTTCATGGCGCTGATCCACCTCATTAGTTCCATTGGCATTGCTCCACGCTGCCGTGCGCTCCTTCTTCCCGCATCGTGGACATTGCCGATCGCGCATGGGCGCAAACTGGCCTTTCGTTCAACTCCCTGGGTTCCTTGCCTCCTTGGTTGTTGCGTCCTCCGCCCATGACCTACATCTTCCCGTTAACGCACTGTCCGTGCGTCATGTTCCCACCCTTGCCACCACCTGTTCCTGTACTTATGTTGCTTCCTCCTTTCCTACGGCGCACAGCGATGTCATAGCCGCGCTTGTAGCACTTGGGTCGCCTCCCTCCTTTGCTTCTGCTGCTGTTTACTGCGTTCACTCCTTCGCATCCGCTGCGATCATAACCCCAGTCGGCGACGTTGAACCACCAATTACAATCGTCATCAACATAACCAGATGGGTTCCGTCATTCCCTCCTCTAGGGCCTCTCATGTCCAGGGGATAATGGATTTACCCGCCGGGGTTTTGAAGCTGCCACCCTGCTAACCACCCCCCCGCATGGGTCATGATGGTGCTCAGCTCAATTGTATGGAAAAACAAGTTCTAACGAGCATGCGGGGCCGCACTTCTCCAACGTTTCCACGAGCGGCGTCCACGGTTCTAGCAGGACGGCCACGTCTCCAATGTGCATTGGCTTATCTGACTTCATAGCTAGATCCATCTGGGCTGATAGAGTCGCCCCAGTAATGGCAGACTACCATTTGTATCTCCTTCGGTATGCTGGAAACACATCACCTTCTCTGCCCCCCTTCAATATCCCTCGCAGTTCCGCCCCCTAGAATTTGTCATTCGGGATATACAGCATGTCCTCGTCTAACTCGCGAACCATGTCTTCAATTCTGTCAAAGTCTCCTCTGTCATCGTCTTCCTGTTTTTTCATTGGGTTGGTTTTCGCGTTAACGGGTTAACCGACTGTTAGGGATCCGAAGCGTATGGTCACCGACTTCGTCTTGCAGCGCACCGCCCACGGCATCCAACTTCTCACCTAGATTATAAAACGACTTCCCGTACTGGGGGTTTACTTGCGCAAACGCGTGGCATCTAAGAGTCTAGTTCGGTCGCCCTCGGAAGTGTTGTGTTGCTGCGTGGCGCAGTATCCGCCCGGGTGGCTTCAAATGTCCACCCGACTCTCGTTTCCCTCTGCGGCTGATTCAGATTATTACGTGACCTGTTCCATCGTGTTCTTTTGCACGTTCGCTTGGTCCTCAACACTCGCATGTATTAGCTAGACTTGTTAAGCCTCCACTTATGGGCGCATGTTGCCAGTCACGAAGCTCATGAGCAAGGAGTGAATCGTCTGGGACATCATAATTAATGAAGGTTCTGACTCCAGCTGCAATGTTCCGATTCATTTCATACTTAACCGTCTGGGCCACCTAGAAACGATTGCAATCACCCTTGTAGCCCACGGCTTCACATCGTTCAATGACCGGCGCTGGGTTTAGGTTAAACCAGTGGTCTCGGTGCTGAGGCGTGCTTAATTGACTCTGGGAGCGGGTCTCCTGGATGAGCGAGTGCTGCTGCCGCAACTGCTACGGGCGCCTCGCTCCGCTATCATGTAAATTCCTGAATAGGATCTGCACCTGAACGATGGACAGCGACGTGCTTTAGCAGCGGGGCGAAATACATAATCCACTGGCAGTGACTTAAGCCCAATTCCAGCGGTAACGCTAACACCTGACTGCGAGACGTGAGACGATGCTCCCCACCCAATCGCAAGGCGCAAGGCCATGTTCTGACACCTCCTCCTCCTCCTTCTCCTCCTCCTCGAGACTGTTGCCAGAACGCGCGCCACGAGACCATTCGGAGAGGGGATGGCAAGGGGGGGAGGAGAAGGAGGAAGAGTGGGTGAAGAGGGGGAGGTGGAAGCAGGATCGAATTTCCAGGATTGTGGGCGTCAGGGGGCACTGTGGGCCCCTGGCACCCTCTCCTAGCACTGTGGGCCCCTGGCCCGCCTCGAATTTCTGGCCAAAACTTGCCACAGGAGATGCATGCTGGTCGATGGCCGTCATCGGAGTCGGAATCGCAGCCGGAGTCGTCGAAGCAGAGCCAACACCAGCATTCTCTTCCGTCTCCGCCTCCTCCTCCGGCCATGTGCTCCTGGGAGTCATCTGCATGGTTTTCACAGAATGCGATTGGGAATGCATTGTGGACTCGGCCCTTGTTCAAACCTGCGCCCTAAACCAAAACCCAAGCGCAGCTGAGGCACGGCCCAAACACCGCTGGATAGAACCAAAACGACATACCATTCGTTAACGCTTCTCAGGGACAAGTCCTACGTTACCGTGGGTAAGTGTGCAGATGACTCCCTGTGCAATCTGGACAATTCATGTGGGTTGCGCGTCCAGCTCGGTCTGACACGGCACCATGCGGGGTGTCGGAATGGATGATCCTCGCCCTCATACAACACAATAAGGACTGCTGCTACAAGAAGAGACAAGACAAAACCAATGCGCGGGGGGACGTAAGCGAGCAAACGTGAACGGTCGCCATAATCATGCGATAGATTCCGAGGACCTTGTCTGTCCCGTCGCGCGGCTGTCCACGTCGTCCTCTCGTCGAATCCTCGTCGACCCCGTCGGCGCGCGTCGGATCCGCACGAAGTCCGCGTCCAATGAGCGTAAAATCTACGTCGAGCCCGCATCGAAGCCGCGCCAGGAGCAAGACACACCATCGATTCTTGACAGCCGGCAGGGCCCCTCGAGGGTGCAGCGCAGCCAACTCGCTGCCGGTGCAGAGCCCGGCTGCCTCGAGGTTGCGAGAGAGCATCGCGGCTCGGATGCCCCGGCCTGCCCCTCCTGGGAACAGGGCGCGGCGGCCCCACCACCAGCTCGAGGAGCCGGGGGTGCTCCCCCTGGTGGTATGGTCACCCCCCTCCCCGCTCGAGGCAGCAGCCCCCATCCCCGACCACAGGGAGGCACTGTGAGCCTTCCCGCTGGAGGTGGCATCCCTCGTGGTGGTGGGGTCGCGCTTCCTCCTTGCTTGCAGCGCGCAGTGGGTTGGCGGACGCCGCGGACGGCGAGGGCGAGGACAACGGGCTCTGCTCCATGCAAGGGAGGAGGATACGCATACCAAGAAATATGGGGATGTGGGAGGAAGCTGTCCAAAACTTGATAGGGAACTGTGACACCCTCGAGTCGTGGCACAAGCAGACACGACGGACGAGGTTTAGCAACGACGGGCGGGGTGAAAAAGCGGCCCGGGAGCCCATACCTCCAGGGAGCCACGCTGTGAAACAGCAGCGACGTCCGATGTCTGGGGGGTGAAGGTGGAATCGGGAGGAGGGACAGGGAGAACAAGGAGAAGAAGACGAAGAATAAGAAGAGGCATTACGTAAGGCGGGGATGAAGGAATAGCAGGAGCAGTAGCAGCAGGAGAAGGATTGGGGCGCGGATGGGGAGCATCTCGGGAGGAGGCAGGAAGGAATGGGAAAGCTGGCGAATAAGGCCTGTCCAGTGTTTGCGGGCGTGCACTGCGCGTGGCCGTCGCAAGCGCATTGAACTTCAGTGGCAACTGCACCTGGCCCTTCCTGCCCCCCAGCCCGAGGAGTGCAGCATTGCTTCATCCCGCTGGGCTTAAACGCTCCTTTGTGCTACCGCGTGCGTCGTCGACCAATATCCAATATCAAAATCAGCGACGCCCACGCTATGTAAACTATATGGAGACAGAGGATGACGGAGACCTGGAGGATGACAACTGGAACATGAAGAGGAGTAGAACGAGGAATATTTGTAAGGAGAGAAGCACGAGCAGGACAGGTCCAGGAGGATAATGAATAAGTGCACCAGACACTGCATAACCGCTTGTGGCTGCTGGGCCGAACGAGGAAGACAATATGGGTCATGGATGAACACGGGGCAGAAAACGAACGGAAGCGGAGGAGCAGGAAACGCCGATTACGAGTAAGAGGCGAATGGTAAGAGGAATACCAAACATGATGAGGAGGAACAGGAAGAGCAGGATGATAAGAAGCAGGACGATGAGGGGATGTGGGGAGCGGGAGCTAGGAGAAGCAGGATGAGTAGGAGGCACCTGGCACAAGAAACTAATGCGAGGAGGGCCATCGGGGCGGGAACCATGGGAGCTCTATCTGTTCCCTCTCCTTCTCATCTTTGACCTCATACTTACTCCTCGCCCTGATCCTTCCTGCTCCTCCCCCTGCCTCCCAGTCCGCTGTCCAGTAAAATCCGCCACCGTGCCTTCGTCACGCAGTGAAGTGCCTCAAGGCCCATGCAGCTCTGCGAGACAGAGGGCGTGTGGTTCTTCAGGGCCCAGACCCCCGGTTTCCCAGGCACTCCCAGGCGCCGCCGCAACCTCTCGCGCCAAGAGGGCCCCAAGACAGGCCAAGAGTACTCCAAGAGGCCCCAAAGACGGCCGAGGAGGGAAACGAGTCGTCGAACGATTGGTCGAACACGCTCAAGTTGGCCGCCGGACGGCCGATGATGCCCCCAACACGCCCCAAGAGGCCTCCAAGAGGCCTTCCAAAAGGGCCTCGCGGATGCAAAAGTTATTGCTTGCTTTTGGTTGTTGAAGGACTTTGGCGCTCTCGCCTGTTCAGCTCCCCGACGTTCCCGGACGGCCCAAGAGACTTTCGAGACCGCCCCAAGACGGTCCAAGAGGTCTCCAAGAGGACCTCCAAGACGATTCCAAGAGGGAGCCCAGACGGGGAACCCGAACGAAGACTTCGACCGCTCGCCCCCAGCAATCCCCAGGCAGTCCCCAGAGAGCACCAAGAGGCCCCAAGACTGCCCCAACAGCGCCGAAGAGAGCACCTAGAGCGACCCAGGGACATCCCGACGAGGCCCTCCAAGGCCACCCCCACTGTTCCCAGAGATCTCCCTGTTCAACCTAGTTGCCCGCTTTGTTTCACTGTAGGTGTCTTCATCCCTTTCCCCGTCAATTCTCACGGGCACGGTCTTTTTTTGTGTTTTGCATATGTTCCTATCTCGTGCCCTTCTCCTGGGGTTCGAATCCTCTGTGGTGTGCGGCCCCACCCTTGGGACTCGAATCCTTCGTGTTTTACGCATGCTCCTGTCGACTGCCCTTGTCCTGGGGCTCGAACCCTTCGTGTTTCAAAACCCACCGCTCCCCAAAGCCGCACTGATGTTGTCTGCGTCGTGCGAGCTGAACATGGAAAATGCGTCGGGAGAGGTGTTGGCTCGACCGTCTTTGGCGGGAGATCTGGGTATGGGGGTGTCGGCCCCCTTTTCATGCAGTTTCCCCCAGAAGAGGGGTTGCATCACGATGGGTACATGTGACATGTAGAAGCACGGATCATGAGGGTACATGAGTGTTGTCGGTAGTGCTGTTATTTGTTTGTCATCTTTGTTTGTAGCCAGTCCGTATGGCCGTTCATTCTCCAAATCCGCCCTATGAAATCAGAACGACCGCCTCGGGCGATCCCAATATGGTCTCCGCCCAGTCCTGTCAGATAATATCGCACGTGCAGGCGCCACCGCGCGCCCACGTCAACATCTTTCAAACCATACCTACCCATATTCCTATTCATATACTTTGATAAGGCCGGGGGCCCCGGAAAACGCGCCCCCCCTAACGAATTTGGCCCACCCCGAGCCTCTCGTGCAACCCTCCAGACGACCCGGGAGAACCCCACGAGAGCCCGAAGACGGCCCCAGAGGGCTCAAGGCGTTCCGGCGCGCACCCGAAACGACCCCAGATAGCACAAAGACGGCCCACGACGACCCCAAAGAAGCCGTCATACCCCCAAGGGTCGCTCCAAAACGTCGCAAGAGGCCTCCAAGAGCACTCCCGAGAAGGCCCCAAGAGGCAAAATTCACTGCTTTTCTGTTGGTCTTTAGTGAATTTGGGGGTTCTCCTCTTTTCGGCTTCCCGACGCTCCCAGACAGCGGGCTTCTGGGCGTCCGAAGCCGCCTGGGAGGCTCGAAGATCGCCACACAACCATCCGAAAGGGCTTCCAGGCAGTCGAAGACATCCCCAAGACGGCACAACAGGGTTCTAAGATGGCCTAAAAGGGCCCCATGACGGCTCTCAGAAGCATTCCAAGTCGTAAGCCGGTCGTTCAGGGAGACCGCGGTTGGAGGCAGGGTGGCCCGAGGAAGCCCCCAAAGGCCTCCAGAAAACGCCCAGGAAGCCTCCATAAGGCCTTAACCGTAAAAAAACCTGAAGCACTTTTTTCAGGTCCCTAGAGGCTCTCCAAGGAGGAGCCTCCGCAAAAAGAGCTGAGGAGGATGGGGAGAATACGCAAGCTATGGCGAGAAAAAGAAAGCATGGAGGAAGGATAACTAACATTCTTATAACGGCGATGCCGGAAAAGGCAACACGGAATTATCGCTAAATTGTCGGCTTGGCCTTCCTGCCATCCCGCCTGCATACCAAACTTCAAGGGCCAAGGTGCATGGCGCGGAGCGTCAATGCAAACTTGTATACATATATATATATATATATATATATATATATATATATATATATATATATACACCCTGCCCCACCTTTTTGCGTGCGGACACGCCAATGGTCAGAGTAGGCTAGACCCCCCTCAAACCCCCCAGCTACTGTACGCACCGGGATGCAAGGGTACCCTACGCCACGCATTTCCTAGGCGGCAAGCACGCGGCGCCTACCGCACCGCGCGCTTGCCACCTAAGGCGTGCGAGGTGGTCCTCCACCGTTCGCATACAGCAATCTGGGGAGGGGGCCTACGCTATCTTCTGGGCTACGGCACCAGCAGAAAGCGTGCCTCAACACGGAAGGGGTGGACCGCGGGTGGGAGCCCAAACAGGCTACGGACGTGTTGGGGCGGCGTGTCCTGGCCAAAGGGGGGAAGACGGGTATACGCATACAGGGAACCAGTATACAGACATACCCTGCCCCACCTTTTTGCGTGCGGACACGCCAATGGTCAGAGTAGGCTAGACCCCCCTCAAACCCCCCAGCTACTGTACGCACCGGGATGCAAGGGTACCCTACGCCACGCATTTCCTAGGCGGCAAGCACGCGGCGCCTACCGCACCGCGCGCTTGCCACCTAAGGCGTGCGAGGTGGTCCTCCACCGTTCGCATACAGCAATCTGGGGAGGGGGCCTACGCTATCTAACTCCCCCACCTACTGGCCTAAAGGCTACGTAGGCCGTCCGTGTTTAACTCCCACCCCCTCCTGAAAATGGCATATTTATGCCGGTCCTTAACTCGGGGGTGTGCGGGGGGGCAAACCACAGGACTGCCAGGGAGGTCTGGCCACGCCACCCGCGCCAGGCCACAGGCCTGACGCGGGGCAGGCACCGCACAGGGCGGCCCTAGACGTGCCAGACATCCCCCAGCAGCCCCTTGGTTTGGCCCCTGAGCACACTTCCCCACTCCACGCCCTTCTCCAGCCCTTGCCCTCCACACGGCACGGCAGCCTTTTCTGGGGTCCAAGGACCGTGAGGACGGTACCCAGGAGGGGGACAACACTCTGCAGCCGCCGGAGCGGCGCGGCAACGCCCAAAGGGCAGGCCGCGCAGAGTGTTATCCCCCCCTCTGGGTCCCGTTCTCACGGCCGTTGGGCCCCGAAAGGGCTGGCACGTTCGAGGAGGAGGCGACGGGGGGAGGCGACGGGAGGAGGTGACACGAAGCGCGGAAGAGGTGAGACGGGCGTGGACCCCAAACAGAGAACGCCCCACACAACGGGCGGGCCCAGGGGCCCCAGGAAACCAGGACCAGAGAAAGAGAGAGATCCACGCGGCCCCACGGCGGGAGGGCGGTTGCCTTCGCCGCAGCGAAGACAAACGCCCGATTTTCGGCAAGCACTGTTGGGCGCAAGCAGTGGCCTTTTACAGTGGCCAGCTGCAGGAGCCGCAGTCCTCGCGCAACGGCGCGGGCTGCCTCGCTCCCAGGCTGGGCGCGCACTGAGCCGGCCACCGCGCCCTCGATGCACAGGCGTGCGGTGGAGAGCCGCGCACCTGCGCCAAGGCTGCGGACCGCAATCCGCAGGAGCGCCACGGCCATCCTGCTGCGGACGACGACTGCCTCCGCGCAGTCCTTGCCAGCCGTGGTCTTGAACGAGCTGATCCGGACCACGAACAGCACGTTGCGGTGACGATGTCGCCCACCGTCAGGGCAAACACCTCCGCACCTTGGAGCACGCCCTCAAGGTTGACGAGGAGGAGGGCGGCCACGTCGAAAGCGCCTGCAGCGCAAGCGAACCCCGCCGTGGCCGCGACGGCCTGGGTCGTGAGCGGCAGCACCCTGGACGCTGGCTCATGCTGCCTCCATGCCTTGAGGAGAGTCCAGCTCAGGTCAAGGTGTCGCCTCGAACGAGGCGCCGCGAAGCACCCCTCTGCCAGCGTGTTGCAGGCGGCCGCGATGCCCGCACCAGAGGCCCACAGGCCCTCGAGGTACTCCGCGACGAGGGCGTCGGCGTCCTCGGGGTCCCCGCGCAAGGCGTCCGCCCCCGCCTGCTCGGCTCCGAAGTGGGCCAGCAGGGCCCGCAGAGCCCGTTCGTAGCGCCGCCGCGTCTCCGCCGACACCTTCAGGGAAGAGAGAGTCTGGCAGCGCGTCCCG